CATAGCAAAAGTTTGTTTCGATGAAGAGAATTTAAGATAGCAGCTCCTGGATGTCCTAAACGACTATGCCATAACTCGTTAGATGAAGCAGCAAAGGCGGATGGTGGTAGTGCTGTTGTGTTTGGTCTTGTGGGAATAGGGTAGAGGTCGCCAGAACTATTACATCTCATTAAAAGCGTTCCTGTCTGAAAATCCTTTACAGAAAAACTGAGATAATCAAGTTCAACAGAAACATCATTATCGATTGTAAATTTTCTGACAGAAACAAGGTTTTTGATAAGTTTTGGTGCATGCAAAACATTGTTTAAGGTTAGGGAATTAGGTAAAGATGCATGACCACAACCAATTACAGGTATATGATGACCACTACCAACAGTAATATTATTACTCATATTAAAATAAGATGTGAGATTACCTCCATTGCCCGTCATATGAAAAGTCGCTCCGCTGTCCATATACCATTGATCATCAGGAGGAGAGATGGAGAAAGTATGCATAGCAGCTTGGATGTCTGTTGGAGCATAAGAAGATGAACTTTGCTGACTGTTCATGTGAGGTGGAGAAGTTGCCATGTTAGCTTGCTGAGGTTTAGGACCTAGTATGCCTGATTGTTGATGGGGAGAAACCGTTGTCGGATATGGACATGGTGGAGTGGCCCATGGCTGCCATGGATATGCCCATTGTTGCTGCTGTCTGGGATAAGTGGGAGTGGTCCACTGAGGTTGCTGATAGTGAGACTGACGCCACTGATGTGGCTGTGGCTGGGAACGACCTCCACCACGACCATTGCTTCTGCTCCTGCCACGACCTCCACCGCGGCCATTGCTTCGGCCACCACGACTAGCACCATTGTTGTTGCGATTGTTATGCTGTTGAGATAGAGTGGTTGAGGCCGCGGTATCATCAAGAGATGATACGAAAGCAGAGTTGCTGCTAGAATTTGCTGCTTTCTTTGCTTTGGCTGTTTCTTCCAATATTATCATAGAACGAGCTTTGTAAAAAGGTGGAAGAGAGTCTCCATGACGGATTTGTGAACCCACCGTGGCATACGCATCTGTTAGGCCAGAAATAAGTTGAAGAACAAGCCTTTCGTTAGACACGGGAGCACCGACATTAGAGAGTTGATCAGATAGGGATTTGAGATGTTGACAATAGGTGGAGGCATCAGGAAATTGCTCCATATGAACATTAGAAAACTCTTGCTCGAGGTAGAGAGCCCTAGAATTTTTATTGTCATAAAAAATGTTGAATAGCCTGTTCCATGCATTTTCTGCGGTTGAATCACGCTCAATGATGGTGTGGAGAAGATCATCAGAAATTGTGCCATAAATCCATTGAAGGACAACATCATCAAGACGTGCCCAAAGTGTAGGATCGGTGTCTTTGAGATTAGAAGAGGATGTGGTTTCGGTTGGAATGATATGATCAATGACTTGGTGAACACGAGCATGGATTTTGAAGAGTTCAGACCAGGTGTTATATTGACCTTTTTCAATACTTAGGGTAATTTTGATAAAGTTGGTGATGTTAGAGATGGTGAATGCGGGATGAGTGGGAGGATTGGTATTTTGCGTGGTTTCAGAGTTTTTGGAGGGGGATGATCGTTTGGTGGAAGATGATTGGTCGGTGCTCATGATGAGAGAAGCGTGGGTGAAATGAGAGAAAGAGGAAGGTTGCGCAGCTGGTTATGTGAGAAGAGCGGTGGCGCAAGGATTAGGGTGTAGGATCAGTACCTGATGCTTACTGATACCATATTGGAATGATAAGCCTTTCCTTTCTACTGATTTTGAATGATATATATACAACCAGGACTATTTAATGATAATAATAACAATGATATCCTAATAATAACAATGATATTCTAATATATCAACAATGATATCCTAATAATAATAATAATGATATTCTAATAGACATATTATCAAGATTTTTACGGGTTTAGATACGGGTTAGGGTCATTAAAATAACCTGATCAAAATTTAGGACATGGTTAGGGTTGGTCATAACCCATCCCGACCCGTCTCTTGCTCACCCCTAGGTATAAAGAAGCACTAGAATGATAGTCAAGGTCACAAAAACCAGAATGGATGTGGAGAGGTTGCTACTACGACTAAAAATAATACACCAAAAGATATCAACAACATGAGCAGAGAAGATCTAGACATTCAAAACAATAATGATAATCAAAAGCACAATAATAAGATTGAGTATGATTGAGATATTTAGAAAGGTAACATGCAAATAAGATAAGTGAGTTAAAATCATAACATTAGAGATTGTCACTCCCTCAACAAATCCAAGAACAAAAGCAAGGAGAATATGCAGTAAAAGAGGAAAATTACCAATAAGAATAATGAGCAAAAAGAAAAGAATAATAATAAAAATAAGGAGAAGGGCAACTTGTGAACTTACACAACCAAAATGGAGGATGAGTTCAAATACTAAATTCAACATAAAAACTGAGATAATCAAGTTAGAGTTAAAAGCACTAATCACACGCAATATGGAAACCCTAATATTAAAGATAAGAAAAAAGCTACAAATCTCATACGAGAAAAAGACGATAAGTAGAAAGTTTTTAAAATGAATATATTATTTTCATTAGTAAAGAGGCCAATGATCAAGCCATAAAGTCATGTTGCCTAAAAACTACATTACACTTAATAAACCTAATATCATCTAATATCATCCTAGTGTAAAGTTTTTTTTTTGACATTTTAAGAAACATATAAAATGTTCTTGGATTATAAAAAAAAACATTATCAAATTCTTGCTAAAAACACTTATCATCAAATTCTTGCTAAAAACACAAACAATACTTTTTTATCACGTAATTTCAAAAACTAAAAATTAAAATTAGGGTTTTAGTCTTACGAAGCCTAAAAATAAAGGGAAATCGTTAAAAATGTGTGGTTGAGTCTAACTTAATCTTATAAAACTGGTTGGTAGAGTGAAAGTTGCTTCAAATTGAGTCTAACTTAATATGATCAAACTGGTTGATAAAGTGAAAATTGCTTTGGAGGGTGGAAATGAATGGTGGGTGGTCCTCCCTACAAAATTGGTTGGTAGAATAAGAATTATCCCAAATTATAAACACATATTTAAATCATATATTATTCGATATAAAACTCTTATGAAAAATTAACTTGTTAACTAAAACTAGGTGCTTTATTTGAATACATATAAAAATTGTGATTTTTTTTTAAAACTAACCACTATTTTAAAAAAATACCAAATAAAAGAAGAACTCAAAATTTTTACTAAAGTAGGCAAAATTCAACATGCATGCGCCATATCATATGGCTGAACCATGCAAGCCATCACCAATTCGCCATATGATATGGCATATGAGACAAAAAGCAATTTTTATTTTAAAAGGATTCGCCATATCATTTGGCGAATCAGTTTTATTTGTAATTTTTTTTTGTTTTCATTAGGGTTTCTATTTTTGTTTGCTTTTTATTTTTATAGGTTTTAATTTTTGTTTTTCCTAATTTTAGTTTTATAACATAATTAAAATAATATTTGAAATTTAAATAATCTAAAAAATATATAAATGGAAGAAATAGTAAAATATAACACAATCTTTGACCATAATAAAGGTTGGTTCAGTGTTGCCGAGTCAATTGATCACAATAAAGGAAGACCTAGGGGATGTTACCGGGTTGAGCTGGATAGGAGCTGGTGTGACTGTGGGCGAAATGCCTTACCCTCATGTTATAGTAGCATGTTCGAAGGCGCGTCAGGACACAACTAACTTTCTTTCTGCAGTTCACCAAGTGATAAGTCTATGCAATGTCTACACATGCAGCTTTCAGGTGGTGGCAAAGGAGGACTATTGGCCTCAATACGAAGGAGAAATTGTCTGGCATAATGATTTGATGCGAAGAAAGAAAAATGGTCGCCCTAACAGCATGCACATTCGAACCGAGATGGATACCGCAAACAAGATGGTAAGATTATATAGTTCATGTCGGCAACCAGAACATAATCGTACAAAATGTCCTAACGGAGGATCAAACACAAGATCATAGTGTCTAATGTAACCATGTCCCTTTAAATCACTAGCAAATTTCATTTAATTTAAAGCATACTTAATCGATTACAATTAGCAAGCAAATATAAATTAAACAAACATAACTTATTATCACAACAACATTCTGAAAATAACAACAACAAACCGACATAAAACATAAAACAGAACGATGCATCAAGGTGTCTACGATATCACAACCATCAACGTTATCTTCTTTGGTGTTAACATCATCACAAGGACACCAGCATCATTTTCCACTTTTCTCCATTCACGAGTAACTCCGTTTCTCCCTGACTCCTCGACCAACCTCTCAATTTTCCTAATCTTTTCACCTGCAACAATATCTCCTTCTAGCTAGTGGTTCAATTCCCTATGCAAATGCTCCAACGTCTTGCACAGTAGCACCTTCATCAGAGGCTTTGTTGCTGAAAAATAAATTAGGACATTTCTTTTCATTAGAGAAAATGTTGGAAACGATTCCTTCGATGATGATGACGACGAAGAACGTTAATTTAGAAATGCAGACATTCTAGACTCCACTCAAAATTATTAAGACTTTAGTCTTTTGGTATAAATTGTTGTGAAAAATAATATGCGTGTGCAGTCGTATTTATAGAAAAATAAAATAGTACGGACGCCATATGATATGTCTTAAATACCCTTACAAAATTTATATACTTTTTTAAAAGATTGAATTTTGTATATAAATAAATAACTTAAAAAGAAAAGTTACTTCTATAAATTAAAAAAGAAAAAGATTGAACAAAAACGACGTCGTTTCCTTCCTTTGTTCTCAAAACTCAACAAATGGTGAAGTGCGCTTAAAAAAAAAAATCAAATCCCACGTTGGAATAAATTAAATTTGGAAATTTGAGTTCCCATATCAGTTTCCGAATTCGGTTCATCGATTTCGAGAGACAATAGCTTTGAAAATTGAAAATCAGAGTCTGATCGAATCAAAACGATGTCGTCGCCGGACATTGTGTCAATTTTGGAGAACTCCAAGGAACTCGATCGGTTAAGGAAAGATCAGGAGGATGTTCTATCGGAGATCAACAAGCTTCACAAGAAGCTTCAAACCAGTTTGTTACTCTCTCTTTCCCTCTCTTATTAAGCTTCATTTGAATTAATGCTTCATATAAATGATGATTCATTGTTATTACTTAAAATTAAATACCCCTTGTCACTTTTAGGCTTTGGTATATGATGTTAAAGATCTGAGTTTTGTTTCTCATTGGAGCTCATTAGATAGGAGTTTCTCTACTTGTTTTGATGTTTTGGAAACATGATCAATATTCAGTTATTCTTGTATATTACTCTCTCCGTCCCAAATGACTGATCCAGTTGACTTTTCACACAGATTAAGAAAAAAAGAATAAATGAATGAGAGAGAATGATATTTTTACTAAAGTACCCTTATGATGTATTGGGAATGACGAAAGTAATATTAACTAGAGGGTAAAATAAGAAAAGTTGTATTGGAAATTGAAATGGGTCATTCATTTTGAGACACTATTTTATTCTAAATAGATCACTCATTGTGGGACAGAGAGAGTAATTAATGTACTAATGTCTGTGTAATAATTGTGTATTTCTTTTCATTTTGGTGTAGCTCCTGAACTGGTTGAGAAGCCTGGAGATAACTCATTAGCAAAACTGAAATTGTTGTATACTCAAGCAAAAGATCTTTCAGACGCCGAAGCAAAGTATGTCTATTCTCGAGCTCTGAAGCATTTAGTTTTCTTTCCAACTTTTTTAAAAATCGCCAAGATACACGTATTAACTCTTCAAATTTTGGCCAAGTCTAACTTGTATCTACAAAATTGGCTTGTAAGATGAGAATAGTTTAGGTCATATCTTTAGTCGATGTGGAATCTTAAGATCTCTGTCTAGGCTAGGCATTTTACAGCATATGTATAATTCTGTGTTGTTTTTGGTTGCTAGTCTTTCCACGATGTTGATAAGCCAACTCGATACCTTGCTTCCTCCGGGACCGCAAGGACAACCACGAAGGAGATTAGGTTTGTGTCAAATTTATCTTTCACTTGAAATTTATTGATTAATAACAAACTCTGATTAGTAACAAATTAGAAACAAACTCTGAGAATATTATAAGCTTTGGAAATGCTTATTAATAAATAAAAAAAGGTATCTTGTTAGCCGAAGCACTTCTGCATCGTGTTGTCACTATATCATAATGACGTTTTGCAGCAATTCAGTCATATATCATTTGAAGATAAAAATCAAAATACACATGGAAATGTTTATGAAATACTTTTGTTGTGGGTGTGCTAAGTTTATTGAGCTAAATGATATCATGTTTTTGTTGATGTTTATTTGTGCACGTAAATTGCATTAACATGACTCCAGTTCCGATTAGATGTCAGTTCACTGCACTGTGTCTAGCTTACAGTTCTTCTGTTACAGAAGGCAATGAGCAGAAAAGGAAACGAGTTAAGACTGAGTCAGACATTTCAAGGTTAACTCCGAGTATGAGAAATCAACTTGAGGCTTGTGCCAGTCTTAAGGGTGAACAGGTATATTTTTCCCTGGAAGCTTGTGTGTCTTAAACTGCCTCTGTTATGTTAATTTAAGCTTACAGAACTATTAAATATTCGGTTTTATTTTGTTACCTAAGCTGTTAGGTTGTTAGTGCAATTTTGTTATAAATCTGTGTTTTAACTGAAGTTAAATTTATAATGTTCCATATTCACAAGGTTCTGCATAAATCATAAAATCAACAGAAATAACTCACTCCTGACAGTATTTTCTTTCTCTATCTGTTATTAACTTTCTCTTTCTCGGGAAACTCCTTTCTATTCTTACATGAAGCGTCTGTAGTTCTATTGCATTAGGTTAATGTGTCTTGGCTTCTCACGTTTCAGGTTGCAGCTAGGGTCACGCCACGTAATGCTGATAAGGATGAATGGTTTGTTGTAAAAGTGATTCATTTTGATAAGGAATTAAAGGAGTAAGTATATTTTCTGTACATAATGTAATATATTAATGTCCGATATTTTTGAGAGGGGTATAGGTGAAAGAACATCAAAAATAGTAAGGGTTGGGAGTATTAGGGGATGTTTGGAAGGGGGATTTTCTAGAGCAGGGGAGGGCTTGTTTTGTTTCTAATGTTTAAATTTAGCAAACTATAAAAAGTTTCTAAAAATGAATTAAGTGTGATTGAACTGTCATATGATCATATATCATGAAATTCTTTCTTTTTTATAAAAAATTCCAAATATATTATAAAATATAGACTTGTCCCTCCAAAATCCTCCTTTCAAAATCCTCCAAAAGACCCTTTTAAATAGACCATAAGCGTCTGTTTGGGAATTGGTTTTTGAAGGGTTTTTGAGGGTTGCGTCCTATGAACCACAGACACCTCTAGGAGTAGGCGTGTCGTGGTGTCCGACACTTGTATGACATCTGTATGTCACGTGTCGAAAAAGTCAAACAAGTGTCGAAAAAGTCAGACAAGTGTCCACTAAAAAGTGGGTTTTTTCTTTGTTTCGACACTTCGAATCAATGGTTGACACTCGTATGACACTCATAACACATGTTACACAATTCAGACAAGTGTTTCAAACAAAAATTTGTTTTTTTCTTTGCTTCAACGCACTTTTATACATATTTTGGACAAATCTCAACCAAATTTAAAATTGTTAAATGCGTATTTAAGCAACGTTATCCATAAAGAATTAAAGACATTAATTTTGATTAAAATATTTTCAACTTTTTAAATCATAGATGGATAAATAAAGCCCAAATACTCTCTTATATATAGCGGTGTTGGTGTCCTATGTTTTAACATTATCGGTGTTGGAGTGTCCGTGTCGTGTTGTATCCGTGTTGGAGTCTGTGCTTCTTAGGTTGTATCTATATTTTGATATGTGTTTTGATATTTTAAAAAAGTTTAAAAAATAATATGCTTTTATATACTAATGTATGATATTATTTTTAAAATTTTTTAAAAATATCAAACACATATCAAAATATAGATACAACCCTCCAAAGTCTTCTCCTCTAAAACCCTGCAAAAACCAACTTCCAAACAGACCTTGAGGCTTTATTTTGAAAGTTTGGAGGGGAGGGGAGGGCTTTGAAAAAGAGTAGGATGGAGTAAAAACAATTGAGGGATTTAGGTGGAGAGCTTTAGTTTCCCCATCTCTTCCAAACTAGCAAACAGAGTTTAGTTGCCAAATGAATAGTTCTTCTGGGTGTAACTGGTGCTAATATTGGGAAAGGTCAGTGCACCACATACCAGTTGATGACTTGAAGTTATTATTCATCATAACATGAAGTAGCATGCTATGAAACAAGTCTACATATGGTGCGGATGACATGCCCGTCTTAGAATTTAACCCGGCCTAATTCAAACCCTCATAACTAGCACTAGGGTTTCCTTTTGTAGTTCAAAGTGGGAGCAATGAAGGCGGGTAGAGTTTTAACATGGAAGCTGAGTCTCCTAAATTGGGAGCTGTGAGTAATGAATGGCACATGAATGATTTTAATTTACATCTCTAATAGGCTTCTGTATAGGCTTGGAGGGTGAACAGTGTGTAGATTCATTTTGATGAATATCTAATTTTTATTATAAAGATGGGGATGCCAAGAACTGAAATTTGGATCACTTAGTTTTAGAGGCTTCATACCATTTCATGAACCAACTATCTCAAAAAGCTTAAGTTATTAAGTAAAGACTCTTTCAACCTCTGATACCATGTGGCAAACGTACTCCTTATAAAGAAATACTTGGGCTCTGATACCATTTATGGTGAAAGTAATATTAATAAAGATTCGGTCAATCCATCAACCCTTTTAAGTTGCGGCTACGACTATGATGCAAACCGTTATTGAGGTAAAATGTGGCTGCAATTGCGGTTGTGATGCTGACGTGAAGACATCTAAAACTAGTATATTGCTGATTGCAATTTAAAACTATCTGAGCTGGCTTTTGGAGTTGAAGTAGGCTTAATCTATTCAACATTCTACCAAGGACGGTCATAAACCTCTCCTTAGAATCAATATGCTTTGGTCACTAATTAAATGAGTTTATTATTTGACCAACTTTAAGCTGTTTGAATTGCTCATAATTGTTTATACAAGTATAAGTTGCTGTTCCTCGTTATAATTTGTAATTATTGATGGAAAAAATAATACCTATTTGGATACGAACCTTCTGTGGTAGTCCTTTTCATTACTCTTTTAATTTATTTGTTAAATGATTTTATAGATTTGAAGTACTTGATGAGGAACCTGGTGATGATGAAGATAGCAGTGGCCAAAGGTAAAAAAGCTTATTTCAAAATTTGTTGTTTAATTGTGTACAATGATCATGTTGTCAGCTTGTCTTGCTTCATTTTCTGCTTAAGTTTTGCATGGATATATTTTAGTAGTTGGAGTCAGGTATGTTTGATGGTTAAGAATTAACACGAGAATAAAGTAAGTATAACAGAGATGAGAATGTTGCGTTGGATGTGCGATAAAACTAGACGAGATCTATTAGAGAATGTTGAGGTAGCATCTATAGTAGAAAAGATGGTGGAAAATAAGTCTAGATGGTTTAGGCATGTAAAGAAAGGACTTGTAGATTATAATGCAAAGAGAGTAGATTAGATGAAGAAGAGTGAAACAACTAGAGATAGAGGAAGGTCTAGAAAAACTATAAAGAAAAATCTCGAGATTAGCGAATTGGATAGAAATATGATCTTGGATAGAATGTTATGCCAGAATTTGATTCATGTAGCTGACCCCTCAATGGGATAAGACTTAATTGTTTTGTTTTTGGAGTCAATTATATTATATTAATCAAACAACACTCGACGTCTTATAATAAATAATGTTTAAAGATAGGCCATTTAAATTCAATTTTCTTAACAATTTGGTCTATAGTTTTCTTTCGTTTTCCTCTACCTTGTTGCACTATCCTCCATTATGATTTACCCTATTTATTGGTGCATCTACATGGCTTTTCCGGACATGCCAAAACCACCAAAGGGAAGATCTACCATCTTTTCACCGGTGGATGTTTTCTGAAATTTCTCTCTTAATATTTTATTTCTTAACTCTATCATTTCTTGTGTATCCACCAATTTATATATTTTAGTTTCTACATTAGAGATTACTTTCTTATTGGTTTTGTTGATTGAGAGAAAAACTAGAGGCATGACATAGTGAGATCGCGTGTCAAACTACATCCCTGAAAAATATATTATAGACTTTGAAATACTGAATATATAAAAATAACGTCAATTTCATAATGTTAAGAAATTTGATAACACATTTAATACATTAGTTGTGAAATTTGAGAAATATCGCTACAGCATTTTAATGGCTTGTGCTTATTCAACGTGTTCTTTCTTCAGGCAGTACAAGCTTCCCATGGGAAATATTATTCCTTTCCCCAAGAGTAATGATCCTTCGAGTGCTCAAGATTTTCCTCCCGGAAAACATGTTTTGGCAGTCTATCCAGGAACTACTGCACTTTATAAAGCAACAGTTGTTCATGGCCATCGCAGGGTAATAAATCTCTCTTTACCTTAATAGAGCAGGATCACTTCTTGATTTTTCCTTGCTTCCATGAAATTTTAGTTACTATTAATCCATGCTACTCTTTGATGACTCTAACATCATATTAACCAATTTTTGTATTGTGCATGTTCTGCGTTAATCTCCATCATATCACTAATGCAGAGGAAAACAGATGAGTAAGTATAATTCCTCAAGACTTTATGGAACTTTTTTTTCTTCATAGAAGCTGAACTTTTAGGAAAAGAAAATAGGTAACTATCTTATAATTGTTTACTCTGTGGTGATTGGAAACAGTTATGTGTTAGAGTTTGATGATGATGAAGAAGACGGGTCTCTACCACAAAGGACAGTACCCTTCCACAAAGTGGTTCCTCTACCAGAAGGACACCGTCAATAAATTACAAGTAATATTTAGCTGTGTATAGAATAGAAACTAGCATACCCTATTGTTGTTGGTTGTGTAATATGTTCAATGTATGTCATTTGTTAAGTTAGTAGTATGAAGGACATTGCACGCACGAATCACATTAGTTTAATATTGGGAAAGACATTTTTGGTATTGTTCTTTTTTATACGGATAAAAGTCCAAGGTTTGTTTTGTGATACCCAATGTTGTAATCTTTTCTCCAATCTCCAATATGAAAGTTGTTATGAAAAACAGTTATGGGAACACATTTTAACAAATAAAATGAGGAAGAGCAAGGGGTACTTTGTGCTTAATATGTAAAAAGCCACTATATCCTATTTAGCCATGTGGTTAGAGTATTTATAGACCCTAACTCTGCTCGGTTGAAAGGTGGGGGATATGGAGACCAAGTGTGATTGAGATTAAAGTTGTACTTAAAGCAACTATTGAACAGTTTCTTTAGGAATAAATAGTTGCTTAAATTTGTATCTTTTAATGGTATGTTTCTTTTTGCAACAATAATGATAAGATAGGTTTTTATGAGACATATTCTTGCTATTTGAATTTTTATACATATATTTATGCTTCTTTTTAGAATGCTTTAAAGATTTTTTTAACCTTAGAAGGATCAATAGCATACACCATCTTAGGCTGCAAGATATTATCTAATTTAACTTGAAGAGGTTTTACTTTATCTTGTCTATTATGACAATGTTCACAACCAAACCTAGGAGGTTTTATATCCTCACTCTTGTCACTTTGAATATCTATAATAGATTTCTTAATAGATACTGTTCTGGATTAGGTCTAGACCTGCCTCATAGTCGGGCAGGTCCAACCTAACGCTGAGTTAGGGAGACCTAGCAAAACCCAATCTTCCTTCATGTCGGGCACATGTAGTGCTGTAGTCGGGAAAACTACTACATATCATGAGGAGGGTTCATGCGTCCTCCCTATGTCCTCCACGTGTTCCCCACGTAGGGACATGTCATCAGGCAACTATCCACTTCTGAAAGAATTGGTCAGCCCACCTTTCGAAGATCGCGAGGCATTGATCCAGGGCGAAGACCACATGATGGTCTTTCCTACGCCACGTAAGCCCTGATAGTTACTCGTATTGGGCCTTGCAATCTGACCCAATGCAAAGTAACCGTTGGCCATGCGCTGGGGGCACATTGTAAATACCCTCTTTCACTAGAGGGTTAGGTATTCTATTTTCCACACCTATTCTCTATGTACCTGCTCTTTCTAAACTCCGTTACTCACTTAGGCATCAGAGCACCTTGCAGGTACACCCTCTCATCCTCTTAAACACCGGTGAACACAAGAGCTCACGACGCGTGGCAGGCTGCTGATCCCTTTCTGATCAGGTAAGATCAGTGGCTAGCCTACGCAACAACAACGCTCCGGAAATCGCATTCGTTCCCTTCACCAACGGTGATGACCACGATCCCAATATGACCGTTCACGTCGAGGAGGGCGACTCCAAGGACGGGCACACCGCCTCTCCCTCCCGGAAGACGCGACCTTCAACACCGCTCACCTCTTTGATAGCCTAATTTTCTACCACCTATTTGTAAGCCTAGAATGAGACTCGAGGCGTCCCTAGGCACTTGAGTACCCCCTACTCCTAGCCGCCCTAGGGCATTAATTTTCCTAACACGTGGCATCACCAGACACCTCACGCACCCGTTCGAATTCCTCTCCTATCCAAAAACATCCATGGTCGTTCCCTCCAACGTCTCCCAAGCATGCGGGCCCGCAGTACCTCGTCGGCAACACGAGGATGGGCTCATGACCACAAAAGGCAAGCACGGCTCCCCGATAGCATCCACGACATGGAGGAGCCCGACATCCGACCGCATCCTCGACGTCGGGACTGACGCATAAGTCATCACTCCTACGCTCAGGAGCAACGACTTAGGAGACTCCTGTTCTGGACTTGGCCTAGACTTGCCCCACAGTCGAGCAGGCCCAACCAAACACTGAGTTGGGGAGGCCCAACAAAGCCCAATCTTCCTTCATGTCGGGCACATGTAGTGACGTAGTCGGGAAAACTACTACATAACACGAGAAGGGTTCACGTGTCCTCCCCGCGTCCTCCATGTGTTCCCCACGCGGGGACACGTCATCAGACAACTACCCACTTTCGAAAGAATTGGTCAACCCACTTTCCGAAGATCACAGGGTAGTTGATCCAGGGAGAAAACCACGTGCTGGTCTTCCCTACGCCACGTAAGCTCTGACAGTTACTCGTATTGGACCTTGCAATCTGGCCTAATGCAAAGTAACCGTTGGCCCTGCACTAGGGGCACATTATAAATACCCTCTTTCACTAGAGGGTCAAGTATTCTATTTTTCACACCTATTCTCTCTATACTTGCTCTTTCTAAACTTTGTTACTCACTTAGGCATCAGAGTACCTTGCAAGTACACCCCCTCCTCCTCTTCAACACCGGTGAACACAAGAGCTCACAACGCGTGACAGGCTGCTGATCCCTTTCTGATTAGGTAAGATAAACTTTGAACGTCCTTTTGGATTCTAAAACTTTACCTTCTAAATCTAAAATAATTTTTTCATGTGAAGCTAACTTGTTAAAAGCTCTTAAGGCTTCTCTACGAAGATATTCAAAGGCCTTTTGTAATTCATTCAAAATAGGGTGAATTGTTAATGCACTCGATCTTAGAGAGACTTACATTTTATTTTTTCTTTCTTTTTTCCATAAGGAAAATTCGAGTAGATTCGATACTTGAGGTTGTGCTTTCATCACTAGAGGACTCACTTGCACTCTCCTAAGCGGCATATGCTCTCCTAGACTTGCTAGAAGTTTTATGATGACTTTTTTCTTTATCTTTCTTTCTCATAGGGCATTCCGGACTATAGTGCCCGACTTCACCACAATGATAGCAAGATATTCTAAACTTGATCTTCCTTCTTTCATCATCATTTGAGGAAGTTGTTAACCTTCTAAACTTGGCTATGTTCTTGTTGGAACATTTACCATCATTATTTCTTATATACCTTTGGTATCTCTTTACGAACAACCACATATCTTCTTCATACGAACTCTTGTCATCATCACTTTCATTATCACTATGCTCACAATGTGAAGACCTTGAGTTAGAAGTCTTTAGAGTTATGGACTTTTTGCCTTCTTCTTTGTCTTTCCTTTTCTCATTGTTCATTCTCTTTTTACATTATTTTTCGTAATTTGCTAAGCAAGTGAGCTCTTGCTCATGCTCTTCCAACTTACCAAACAAATCCGTGAGATCAAGCGACTTAAGATCATTTGCCTCCTTGATGGCAGTGACCTTGGACTGCCATTCCTTACTTAAACATCTAAAAACTTTGTTAGTAGCAAGTTTATTAGAAACATGATTACCTAGAGCATTTAATCGATTGATAAGATGTGTGAACCATTTTCGCATACCCGCAATGGTTTCACCATGCTCAATACAAAACAGGTCAAACTCTTGATTTAATGTGTTGATCCTAGCTTGTTTGGCATTATTAGTACCCTTATAGGCAATCCCTAATGTGTCCCATATAGCTTTGGCGGTCTCACAATTAGAAACGCGATAAAACTCATTAACACCTAGAGCGGATGTGAGAATATTGTTTGCTTTCCAATCATGTGACCACAATATCCAATCATTAGCATCCCATTGTGCTTCCGGTATATGTACGGTAACATCTTCATTAGTCATTGTTATTTCATTCAGACCATTTTGAATAGCATCCCATATACCTTTGTTAACGAAGTTGACATGAATACGCATAAGAGCTTTCCAATAGCCATAATTTTCTCCTGTGAAAATTAGTGCTCTATTGTATGCTCCCTTAGGTTCGGTAGCCATTCTTATAAAAATTAAATCTTAAGCACGGAATCAACCGGAGCTCGTGATACCACTTGTTATACGGTAGGCTACGATCTAAAGGGAAATGAAAAACCTAAATGAAATCAAATTACAAAGCATTCCCATCATCTTCAACCTTTCTTCTATGCATACACATAATTGAACTACACATAATCATTTTTCGATTGAGTGACCATCTAGATTACAGTTGATAACGTCCAATTAGGTTGGTGTAACCGAGAATATTGGGTTGAGATCTTTGTGTGTTTCAAATAAGAAAACCAAAGTGGGGTTTTCCTTCAATATCATTGGGATTTGAAGGTTTTAAACAAGATCACGTTAACATGGATTCGATCGAGTGAAGGTCTTGAGACAAGGTGGTTTCCTTGCAAGGGAGTAGAGCGAGACGGTGAATCGCGTTCGAGATCCTGGCTTCAACAAGTGCGTGCTTGGGATAATTGGTGGATTGTAGCCGTATTGTTGGTGACTTGATCAAGCTTTGATTAAGCGTTTGGAGGTGGTTGAATAAACAACAAACCATAAGGTTTATGGGGTTAGAGTTCTTCATCTCTTGCATAAACATTTTTGCAAATATAAGGTTAATTGCGAGTATCTCAATTCAATTTCGGATTGAGGGAAGACGTACCCATATCAAAGATGACTGAGGAACTACCTAAGCAAATATTTGTGTCTCTTTATCTTTATTACTTTCTCTATTTAATTGTTGTTCTTGCAAATTATCGATTTCGTTGTTGTTTCAATTAATTCGATTAGAAATTATTTTTAACTATCTTTTAAAATGTTGTTATTGATATAATCATAATCACTTTGATTGTGATTAGCTATTAACATCAACAAAACAAATTGAACTTCCAAACTTGATTGATCGCACAAAAGTGTTTGATAAATTGTCTTTTAGTATTTTTATCGCTTCGTCTTCATTGGAAATAAGATTTACGAATAGCTTTGCATTTGATTCATCAGTGAATTAATCGTTGTTGAAAAATTTGGTTTCATTATCATTCCATCGGTTTACGTTATGCATATCCAATCTTTTCGATAATAAGTTCAGTTAGACGATTCGATTCGGGTTGTTTCTGATGTGCCATAGATTTTTGTAAACAAATTTTTTC